TCTTCTTCTTCTTCTTCTTCTTCTTCTTCTTCTTCTTCTTCTTCTTCTTCTTCCTTTTCTTCTTCGTCTTCGTCTTCACCTTCTTCCTTTTGACGACACGTTTGTAGAAAAAAAATCAACTCTTTATTGTTGTTCACACTGGAAAAAACATTTTGACAATAGCTTTTTATATAGAAGCTGTCAAATTCATTTTCCTTTTAAACATTGTCCTCATTGCCCACAAAATAATTTCTGCAGACTCTTGTTTAAATAATAATATATAGCACTTGTATAGCGTAAATTCCCTCTCAAGAGCAAGATTTATGTGCTTTACAATCTATATTTTTACCCCAAAAGACATGATATCATTCTGAAACAACTTCAACTTCTAAGGAAGCATACAGTGCAAACCGCCATTTTTTATACTCTTCCCTCGCGTTTTTTTCTGTTCTGTTTTTTTCTGGTTGTCATGAAGTGATCGACCGTGAAATGCTACTCGCTACTCACCATAACCAGAAGAATCAGTTTCGTCAGGTCTCCTGCTCTCACAAAGCATACACAATGGCGTGGCCATGTCAGAAAAATTCTTCAGTCAAAGCAAAATCAAATCTACTCCGAGTAAAAAATTTGGAAAGTTGGGATCGCCGAGAGCAGCTCAATATTAAACTTAGAGAAGAAACGTATAACCTTATCTATATCAAACGTCTCCAGAAAATGTCCTACATGGAAAAAAGAGATTTTTGCACTCTACACACATCCTCAACCATGTTAGGCCTTGAGATTTCATATACACAAGGTACAGCAGAAAAGTATACGGGCCATCGGTAAGTACCAGCTCTCAGATCCAGAAATACTTAATCCAACGTAGAATCATGCAACCAAATTCTGCGTCCGCAGAGACTCCTCTCCATCCTTTCAAATGTTAATGCAACCAAAGAAATCATTGACCACTCCACACGAAATGCGTGCACTCGCTTCGTCTCGTGAGAAGGGCGTGGACAAGAGAGAGAGAGAGAGAGAGGGGGGGGGTGCCCCAAATACTTGTGCTGACGTCATAGGAACGCAGAGGTAGTGTCGATGGAGAGATGGCGCGATGGCTGCTATCTTGTAAGTCCCAGGAATCATCAGCTGATCAAATTCTTAAATCCAAGGGCTTTTTTGTTATCATTTAGTGACATGAAATGGAATAATATCGGTTTTACACCCCTATTAACAGGAGGCATGGCCTCCGAGTTTAACGTCCATCTCCGAAAGGACGGAGCCAAAATGGGAAATTCGTGTGAAGTGCTTCTCCAAAGGACACTGCGTCGGACCGAGTCGAGGCTCGAACCCCCGAACCCGCAGCCTAACCACTAGGCAACCGATGCCACCATGGCTTTTTCAACCACGAGTAAAGAAGAATAGACTGCTGGTGAAGTTGTCAATTTGCAAGAGCTGCAGCCGCCACCCCCTTATCTC